ATTTCTTAGTGAGTTGTATACAAACCGTTTCACCCGGGCAGTCGCACCTGGTACCACCTATGACAGTTTGCACTGTATTGTAGAACACGATCAGATTGTATTCAAATTTGCGGTCTGATCTGTTACAGCGTGGACTGTAAAATTAAAGTTTAGTCGGACTGTAATGCTAGACCTAGTGGGTGGGAATGTCAAATGCATTTTTGTAGATTTTGTCTCACTATGGTCCTCTATAACGGCCTTTTTCAATTCTTATTTTAAACTTTTTACCAAGAATTAAAATACATGCAAGACTGCACTCCGAAGTACAGTCCAGGCTGTAAAAAACACATAGTCCGGCCTAAGATCGAACTTTGTTTGTAGGATGCGTCGTGCTGCTTATCTAGAAACTTTTTACCGTCTTTTACTATCCCAGGTCAAGCGTGAAGAACTTTCCCGAACACCTTGCAGTTGAGCTTTCCAGTACTATCCCAGCGGGATATTACCCTCGAACACTTTCTTGTGGACTAGGCTTCTAGTCAATCGTCGCGTGGCAAGCCGTGGTCACTGAGGATGAGGGTGGCGGCGCGCTCGGCAACCATGATGGTGGGCGCGTTGGTGTTGCCGCTCGGCACAGAAGGCATGACAGACGCGTCGGCCACCCGCAGACCCAGCACGCCCTTGACGCGCAGCTTTGGGTCCACGACGGCCGTCTCGTCGCCCTCGCGGCCCATGCGGCACGTCCCCGTCCAATGCCAGAGGGTCGCGGTCGTGGTCCGAGCCAGGCAAGCCAGGTGTTCGTCTGATCCAAACAGCAAATGGCTACACAAAAATAGAGAAACAGAAATCAAACTCTCATTCCCGTAAATGCTTCCACTTCCTCAGCCCGCTCTTCTGTAGATGTGTGAAAGTGCGAATCATTTCCGAAATCGAAAACGAATAGGGCATTCCAGGCTTTCCAAAACAGAAGTTAGGAGAAGAAAAAACTCACTGACTTTTCGGTTTCTGTAATTGGTCGAGCTGATCACGTGCCACGACTGCCTTTGACGAATGAAAAAC